TATATATATTAAATATTATATATTATATTAAATAATAAATATTTAAAATATATAATAAAATAATTAATTTAATAACTAGTACTAGTAAATATGTACAAATATATATCTACAATTGTTAATGTTTTTATTTTAAAAAATAATATACATACTTGTAAGATATAAACCTTAATTTTTAATTACATTTTTACAATTATTTTTATCATTTTTATCATTTTTATTATTAATAAAAAAAATCATTTAAAATTTTATAACAAAAACAATAAATTTAAATCTATCTAAAAAATATTATTTATCACTTAAATTAAATTAAATTTGTCTGCATATATTAAATCTTGAAAATTTTATTTAAACAACTAAATCACCTAATAATTCTCCACAAATGTGAAAAGAAAAATAATTATATTATTTGATTAGACATGGAAGTATGTTCATGTTATTAAATATATTTCGCATAATAGAATACATTCTAATTTATTATGTATATTTCAGATGAGTGGACTTGATATAAATACATCTCAAATTTTAAAAATAATTTGTATAATTACTGACAAAAATTTAAAAACTGTAAGCAAAGATTTAAATATTATTATACATCACTTAGATGAAATATTAAATAATATGGATGATTGGTGTTTAGCAACTCATCAAAAAGTAATTTTGTATATAAATAAATAACAGACATATATAGTTTCAATGTAATATATAAATCTATATTTATATTTAATATTTATATTTATTTTTAGACAGGATTTAATTTATGAATGACGTTTAAGTAAAATTATAAAATGCTGAGCAAATTCTACTAAAATATTTAAAAATATATGTAAAAGAAGTAATATGTCCATTAGCAGGAAGTTCAGTCTATGTAGATCATATGTTTCTATATAAATATATGCCATTATTTAATAACTATTTACATTATAGAATTATTGATACTTCTACTATTAAAGAATTAATTAAGTAATGTATATTTTACATATATTTGTTCATGCATTATATCTTATACATTTAATGAATTATAATTGTATTAATTTCAGGAAGTGGAATATAAATATATCTATTTTAAAAAAAGATCATAATCATAGAGCATTATCTGATATAAAAGAAAGTATAAAAGAATTACAATATTATAAAAATAATATATTTAATTCTTATATATTACAAGATAATATGAAATTATAAATATAATTTTATAAAAACAATAATTTCATAATACCAAGATAATAAATAACATTTGTTAATTATTATATTTAATATTTAAATATAATATAATAAATATAATATTTAAAATAATTTTTTTTTATAAAATCTTTATCTCAAATTGAAATATATACAAATTTTAG